TCAACGCTTGGCTGGCCATTCATATTCATTCATGTATCACCCTCACAGTAAGGGGGCCACCAAGGGGGCTTGAGGTGGGGAGGGGGGGAGATTCGGCCAAAAAAGGATGAGCTTCCGCCCGGAAAAGCTCAGATTGTTATTCTGTAATGGTTTGGGGTCATGCTTTCGCACCCTCACGGTAAGGGGGGGCCACCAAGGGGGCTTGAGGTGGGGAGATCCGGCCAAAAAAGGATAAGCTTCCGCTCGGAAAAAGCTCAGATTGTTATTCTGTAATGGTTTGGGGTCATGCTTTTGCCTTCCCGCTGACTTACCTTTTCAGAAAATGCCCTCGCTTCCGTTGGGGGAATGGGAAACTGGCAAAGGGAGAGGGGGAGGAAAAAGTCTAATTTTCGCCTTTGCTAGTTGAGGGGAGGTGGAAATTACGAGCCCAAGTGGATGTGCTGCGCTCACAAGGAGTGACCTCCGCTCCCCCCAAAGACGGGGAGGGAAAAAGCCCCGTCCTCGGCTTTGTGGAGTAGCTCGGGCTCTTAAGGCGCGAGGCGTTATTACATAAATTCCAGCTCGCTCCTGATCCTTAGTACCCTGAGTTGCCTGAAGGGGGGAATGGCACTGCCTGCGTGTGCAGCCCGGGCTCTCGGGCCGCCGCTGCAGCCGGAGCGAGGAGCGCCCGCCCGCACCACCTGTCCCCGCCGGCATTCCAGAGTCGAGGCCGAATTGGCAGCGAGCCGGCCGGGATCAGTCGCCGCCTCAGTCCGCGCGGGCCCTCCTAGGGGTGTGTCTCTCGGAATCAACTCCCAGCCGCTCCTGGACGAGCCCCCGAAGGCGTCTTCCTCCTCCCTGGCGGGAGCCGCGCTCGTCCCTCTTTTCGCGCTGTTGCCCCGCGGCCGCCGCAGGCGGATGCACGACCTCAGGAGACGCTGGGACCTGGGCTCCCTCTGCCGGGCCCTGCTCACTCGGGGCCTGGCCGCCCTGGGCCACTCGCTCAAGCACGTGCTCGGCGCGATCTTCTCCAAGATCTTCGGTCCCCTGGCCAGGTACGTTTTCGGGCGAAAACGGGGGGATCCGAGCGCACGGGGGTTGCGGTGGGGGGGCGCGATCGCGGAGGGAAAGCGGCCGCGAGGGAGGGAAGGAAGGGCGCGAAGTTGCCGCTGGCCCGCGGCCGCGGGACTCGGGGGGCTCCGGAGGGGCGCGGCGCGCCTTTGGCCACGCTGCGGCTCTTCGCTCCCTGTCGGCAGCGCACGGTCTCTCCGCCGGCCGGTCGGGCTTGGCTGGCGGGGCGCCTTCCAACGCACCCCACCATCCCCGGTCAGGGAAACTCTGATCGCCCGGGTTGCAAGCTCACCCGAGCCCAAGCCCGAAGGTGGGTGAACGAGGTGCGGGTTTAGAGCTGTGCTTCGGGGCGCTTGGGGACGGAACCCGCCAGTCGGGCCGGCGGGGAGACGGTGGGCGAGCGGAGCGCGCCACGGGGACTGGGGGACCGAGGCGCCCGCGCCCGTCCGTCCGTCCGGCGGCCGAAGAGGGATGGGGGGGAGCGGAGCCCCGGAGTGGCCGAGAGTGCGGCGAGACGCTCGGAGGAGGGGGCGGGGGGGTGCTCGGACACGGGGCGGGAGTTGGGGAGTGGGGCGATCAGGGACGCACGGGGTCCGGCGGGCACAAACCCCACGGCCGAGCGACTCCGGGGAGCTCGGGCGGCCCGGGTGGCGGGGGGCTGAGAAGGGGAGAGGGTAGGCGACCCGGAGAGGAGCGGGGGAGGAGGGGTGTGCGGCAGGAGCCACAGCGCTGAGCCTGCCGGGAAGGAAGGAAGCGGGGAAGGCCGCCGCCGCCGCTACCGCCGCCGCGGTGGAGTACTCGGTGCGGAGGGGAGGGAGGGTGGGGGGGAAAGGGGGCGCAACGGCGGCGCCAGGGGGAGGGGGCGGCGCGGGCGCACGTCGAGCGCGGGCCGAACTGCGGGATTGACGTAACGAGCTTGGGTTTCCCCTAGCGTCGGGAACATGGATGAGAAATCCAACAAGCTGCTGCTGGCTCTGGTGATGTTCTTCCTCTTCGCCGTGATCGTCCTCCAATATGTGTGCCCCGGCACCGAATGCCAGCTCCTGCGCCTGCAGGCGTTCAGCTCCCCGTTGCCCGACCCGTACCGCTCGGAGGATGAGAGCTCCGCCAGGTTCGTGCCCCGTTACAATTTCAGCCGCGGCGACCTCCTGCGCCAGGTAGACTTCGACATCAAGGGCGACGACCTGATCGTGTTCCTGCACATCCAGAAGACCGGCGGCACCACTTTCGGTCGCCACCTGGTGCGCAACATCCAGCTGGAGCAGCCGTGCGAGTGCCGCGTGGGGCAGAAGAAATGCACTTGCCACCGGCCCGGTAAGCGGGAGACCTGGCTCTTCTCCAGGTTCTCCACGGGCTGGAGCTGCGGGCTGCACGCCGACTGGACCGAGCTCACCAGCTGCGTCCCCGCGGTGGTGGACGGCAAGCGCGACGCCCGGCTGAGACCGTCCAGGTGAGTGTGCGCTCGTGGAGGACCTGGGGCGGGGAGGGGGTCCCGAAGCGCATCCCGGGCCTGGGCGGCTGCTGCCCCCAACCTCACCTCCGCCCCCACTCGCCACAGGGCGCGCACCTCTGCGTCCCGGCGGCGCCAGGGATGGGCGGACGCGCGACACTCCGTGGCGGCCCCGGGAAGCTTGTCCCCTCTGGCCCCGACCGACCGACCGACTGGCCGGCCGGCCGGTCTGTCATTCCGCGGGATGGCCTGCCGGATTGCTGGGACGATGTGCCCGGGAAGCGGTCGGGAGGCCCGGAGCGAGCGCCCGCCGCCGCCGCCGCCGAGACTGGGTACCGCATGCAGGCTCTCCATTAGAGCGCCCTAGAAAAAAAAAAGGAGAGAGAGAAAAAAAACCGCGCTTTGCGCGTGGCGTCCCCAAGTCCCTCCTGGCCGGTCTTCTGTTCTCCGCACCCCAGCTCCTAAGCTACCTCTCCCCCTCTCTTCCTGTTTTCCCGCGCCGGCATTGTCTTCTCCCTTTTCGCGCTCCTCTCCTGGTCGCGATCTTCTCCGCTCAGCTCTCTGCTCCAGCCAGCGCTCTCCTGCCTCACTTTGCAGCTTCTCGTTTCTTTTTTTCCGCTTCTACCCTGTCTAGTTTTTAATCTCTCGCTGCCTGACTTTGTCTTTCCCTCACGCCCCCCCATCCCCCCCCCCCGCCCCATACCACCCTCCCCGGAAGGCCAATGGGAGTCCCTCTGCAGTGATTTGCAAAGATGCCCCTTGGTACCCAGTTTACGCCCCTGGGGACTGCCTGCCTGCAGGACAGGCTTCTGCGCCGTTCTCCCTCCCCCTCCCCCTTGCCCTGCCAGAGTAAGGGGCGCCCTGCTGGCCCAGGGGCCCTCTGAGATGCCGATCACACTCCCATGTGGAGCCCAGCCTCACATGGGAAGCCTGGGGACCAAGTCAGGGCGCCAGGCTTGCTGGGAAGCCGGGGGAAATGGAGAAAGAAGCTCATTTATGATTTTGCCCGTAGCCAGTGGCTATTGAAGCCCGAGCATTTTCTCCATCCAGCTGGGTTTGCTGGGTTTGCTGGTGGTCATGGAATGCCAGGAAGGGAGGGGGAGGAGCACTGAGGGCCGCTTGCCCCAACCAGGGGTCCCATTTCTATCACTCTTCCTAAAGCAAATTGGGGTGGAGACAAGGTGAGTCAGCTTGCCCATGGAATCTCCAGACTGGATCTCTGGGTGGGCAAGGTCACATTTGAAATGAAGCGAGATGTGTGTGCTTTTACCCTCTTCTCTGTGGAGGTGACCACTGAGCGATCTGAGGGGACAGTTATCTGCTGGAACACCATCCATCCCCCTGTGCTGGGCACTGTTGGATACCCTGGGTATGATCCAACTTTGCAGGTTTCTATAGGAATTCAACCACCAGGGCAGTTGTGTGTGTGTGTGTGTGTGTGTGTGTGTGTGTGTGTCCCCGTGTGTCCGTGTGTCCGTGTCCAGCCTGAAGGAATTGGAACCCTTTGACTCTCTGCTCACCATTGAGATTAGAGGAGTCATCACCCATTGCTCACTTTCCTGTCCCTCTGTTTTCCAGTGTCTTTTCATTTTTCTTTTTGGGTCACACCTGGCAATGCTCAACACTCAATCTTGGCTCTGCACTCAGGGAATTAGTCCTGGCAGGACTCAGGGGACCCTTTGTAGTGCCAGGGAGAGAACCATTAATGGCTGCAAGTGCCTTGCCCACTATCTGTCTCTCCTACCTCTCCTATGCCCTCCCCCTTTTTGGGTGGGGGGCTTGGGGCCTATTCCTGGCTCTGTGCTCAGGAAAAGACCCCTAGCTGTGCTTGAGACCTGGCTTTTTAAACCCGGTGGTGCCAGGGTGTTTTGAACACAGGTCGGTGGGATGAGAAACAAGTGCCTGAACCCTCACCAATGTGGAATGTGGGAATGTGGAAATTCTGGCAGATTCTATTGATCTTCCATTTCTTTGATAGCACTAACATTTTTTTTTTCATTCTAAGAGGACTTCGGTTCCAGGAAAATAACCACCTTGTTCCATTGTGAGAATTGTGTAAGTCACGGTCATTCCAAGATTCTGTTTTTTTGGATGATCCCCAGCAACTGGGAAATACTGAAAATAACATCTGCTGATGGAGCGTGTAGATGTCACAAGGACTGGGAAGGATGGTGGTATCGAAAATGGTCTTAGGGACAAAAATACTATTCTGCAGTATTAACTGTGGCTGAAAAGTCAACACAAAGTCCTAGCTAGCACGAAAGTTAAGACTTTGGGGGCTGGAGCGATAGCAGAGTGTTTGCCTTGCACGCGGCCCAACCGGGTTCAATTCCCAGCATCCCATATGGTCCCCTGAGCACCGCCAGAAATGATTCCTGAGTGCAGAGCCAGGAGTGAACCCTGAGCATTGCCAGGTGTGACCCAAAAAGCAAAAAAAAAAGTTAAGACTTTGTCTGGGGTTTAACATTGCTCACGTGCCTGTTGAAATCCTTGTGAATGTGTAAAGGGTGGGTGGGATCTCTTAACACTGATGCGATTTCTTAACACTGATACATGCTTAATGTAGCTTCCCGGTCTACCTCTTCCTTCTAACACTTCTCCTTCAGATAACCAGGAGCCCTCAGGGTAGTTTCTCAGATGGTCCTCAATTGAGGGAACCTTGTTTGTACTGAAATGAGGTTTAGCTTGCCCACCAGAGGGGTGGTACCACAGTGCCATCTAGTCTAATCAAAGAAGAGCCACTTTTTTTTTAAAGAGTCAGAATGACTGCCTCTTACACCATTTGCAACGCCCCCCTCCCCTGCAGTAACATTTGCTAGAGAAAAACATGGCTATCTCAAGGGCATCTTTTTCTTCCTTCTTTCATTAATTCCTCCACACCTCCAGAAATCTTCATCTTGAAGAATAGTGATAGATAGCCTGAGGCTTCCAGAATTTCCCGGGATTTGACAAATCCCTGCTGTCAGGACCAGTTTGATAATCCTATAAGAGCAAAGGTATCAGTGGGTGCAAGTGGGAGTATATGTGTGTGTGTGAGAGACTGTGTGTATGTGAGAGTGAGTGTGTGTGTGAGAGTCTGAAATGATGTGTTTCTGAGAGTGGCAGAGAGCATGTGTGAGAGTGTGAGAGTGTTAATATGTGTTAGAGTGTGTTGAATATGAGCGTGTGAGAGAAAGAATGAGTTTATTTGAGAGTGTGAGTTGGGTTTATTTGAGAGTGAGTGTGAGAATGTAGAATGGGTGTGTATGTGTGAGAATGTACGGAGACAGTGTGAGTAACAGAGTGTGTGGGTGTGTGAGAGAGTATGGGAGAGTTTAAGTGTGTGCGTGTGAGAGAGTGTGTGTGTGAGACAGTGGGGGTGTCTGAGAGTGAGTGCCATGTGTGGTGTGTGATTGTATGTGCCTGAGTGCGCATATGTATGTGTGTGACTGGGTGTATCTGAGAGGGTATAGGTGTGGAAGAGAGTGTGAGAGTGTGTATGTGTGACTGAGAGTGTACGTGTGAGTGTATGCATGTGAGCGTATGTGAGAATGAGTGTGTGTGAGAGTGCGGGTATACGTGAGAGCGCGGGTGTGTCAGTGTGGGAGAGAGTGGGAGTCTGTGTGGGAGTGTGCGTGTGCGAGTGTGAGAGAGAGTGCGTGAGGTGAAAATTTAGCAGTGGCGGTGATGCATGTGAGTGAGGAGCTGGTCTCAGGAGATGAGTCCCCACGTATCGCAGCCTCCTGGCACCAGCTGGTGGTCTCTGCTCTGCTGAACTGATGAAGAAAGATGCTCCATCTGTCTGGCTTGGGAATTCCCACATTTGGGCCTTTCCTTCAATGCCAGCCACTTCCCTGCTCTATGACCTTGGACCTGAGCCTGTCCCTGCCTTGTAAGTGTGGAGAGTGGTTCCACTTTCTGAGGACCTTTCCTAACTCCCCCTATCACAGCACTAGAACCCCTCTATAAATGTCCATTATCTTTAGGACCAATACCCCCATTTACCAGATGAGAGTTAAAGCCCAGAGAGGATGAAGGACATTCTCAAGGTCACTGAGCGCAGGCCTCGACTCCAGTTCTGTCGAACACAGTGTAGCCTGGCTACACTGACTGTGTCTTGCTACAAAGATTTTTAGGAGAACGGAGTGAGGTATTGTGCCACCAAGTGAGCTGACTCCAGAAATGTTCACTGCTATGGTTACGTAACCCCATCGTTGCTGTTTTCAATCATTTTACATTTGGGAGCTTGGATAAAGGGATTGGGGTGAGATTGTTGGACTCAGTGGGAGAAGAACTGATTTTCAGGTCCTTGACGCCCAGGGCTCCCTGGGAATAGGTCTCAAGGGCAGGTTGTTGGAAGCCCTAGTGTGTCCATGTTGGAAATGAGTGCAAAGCTTAGCAGCAAGGAAAAGATGTTGAGTCTTTGGCACCACTTTTTAGCTCACAACTATCCACATAGGGTTCAGGGTTTGGGGGGTTGGGGAGGTGCAAGAGAGGATATTGTGGCTGTAAGCCAAAACCTTGACTCCTACACCCAGTGCTCCGTTTGAGTCCTTTCCCTGCCTGGGAATAAGGGAAAGTCCTGGTGATTTTTAAGTGTTGAAGAGAAACGATTGTGATCACATTGCCTGGTGAGGGCACAGAGAGAGAGAGAGAAAGAGAGAGAGAGACAGAGACAGAGACAGAGAGACAGAGAGACAGAGAGACAGAGAGAAAGTGCTTAGCTGGCAGAAGGCACAAGTTGTTTATTAAGAAGAATTTTTTTGTTAAAGCAAACTACAACTTGCTTTTCTTGCATCTGTTCACTGATATGTTGTATGTTGTTGGGGGAAAGCAGAGAACGGGGGTGGGTCACAGAAGGGTCCTGCTTCATCTAGTTTCTGAGGCCATTTTGGAGGATGTATCCAAACATGGTTGCTCACTAGCTGTTCAAACTCCCAAGGTCTGGGGGCTTTTCTCAGGCCAGATTCCCCGTTTTTCTAGCCAAGTCGAGTGCACTCCTCGGTCTGTTGGAGGGATGC